TACAGGGCAAGGACCGGGGGGTGGTGGAGGCGGCGGGCACGGCGCTGGGCCTGGAGGGATCCTACATCCCCCCACTCCTACATCGAGCTGGTGCAGATCGGGCACCTGACGGAGGTGCGCGCCCTGGCCTGCCGCGGCAGCTGGGCTGGGCTGGCCTGGGCTGGGCTGGGCTGGGCTGGGCTGAGGCTAACCAGCGGTGGCGCAGCCAGAGTGTCGTCTCGCCTGCATGGTGCCCTGGCGGGGGTCTGGTCTCGCCGCCTGGCACGGCAGCGCGGCTCCGCAGCTGTCCTCGCCACCCCCCGCGGCCCGCCGCGCCCCTCTCTCCACCTCCTCCTCTCGCCCCGCCCCCTGCTGCAGTCCTTCCAGACGGTGACCGAAGACCTCAAGCGCAGGTTTGCGGTGAACGGGGAGCCGCTGATCGACGAGCATTTGGTGGGCAGCCTGAGCCGCGGCGCCAGCCCGCACTGGAGCAACGACGCCTACAAGCGCCAGACCGGCTTCCAGCTGCCGCCGGGCGCGCTGCAGCTGTCCTCGTCTGGTGCGGCCCGCTGCCGTGCTGCTGGCCTTGGCCGATTCGCCCGGCTGCCTGCCTGGAAGTGCTTTCCCCGGCCCTGCCGCCGCGGCTCGGAAAGGGCAGCGCTGGGCGGTGTGGTGGCGCTGCGGCAGGCCCGCTGACGCGCCCCTGCGGCTGCCCCTGCCTTCCTGCCTGCCCGCCTGCGCTGGCCTGCAGCCCCTAGCACGGCCATGCACCTCATGTCGCCGGTGCGCCCCGCGGCGCGCGGCTCCAGCAGCGGCGCGCGCCCCGCCTCCTCCGCCTCCTCCCGCGGCGGCGGCCTGCTGAGCCAGCAGATGGCGGAGGCGCCGGCGGGGGCGGGCCCGCTGTCCGCCGCCCAGGCCAGCGCGGCTGTGTACATCAACGGGCACGCCTCGGGGGGGCCCGCCCGCACCGCGGGCTCCACCTACGAGCCAGGCAGCCGCAGCGGGGCGCACACGCCCGAGGACTTCCCCGGCACGCGCAACGGCAGCAAGCCCGCCAGCCCCAAGGCGCTGGAGGCGCAGGTGGCCAAGCTGGTGCAGGGGCAGCAGATGCTGAGCAACCAGCTGGAGGAGCTGGCCCTGCAGATCAGCCTGGCGCAGAGCGGGCTGGGCGCGGCGCCACGCCCCGCGCAGCAGCAGCCACAGCAGCAGCCGCAGCAGCCTGCAGCGGGGCTCTGGCAGCAGCTGCGCGGCGTGGGCAGGGGCAGCAGGCTGCCGCCGGCGGCCTGGGCGGCGGCGGGCGCGCTGGCGGGCGCCGGCACCACCCTGCTGCTGGTGCACGGCCGGGGGTGACCCCCGCAGCGGGGCCCGGGCCCCCCCCGGGCCAAACGGTTCGCGGCGGCGAAGTGGGGCCCCCTGCCTTTGATTTCATTGAATAGCGCCATCACCCCTTCCTTTTCGTGGCCGCCACCGGCTTCTCCAAGCCGGCATGATTTTGTTTGGGGGCGGCGGGCTTGGCGTGCCCTGCCGCCGCTGGCCGTCCCCCGGGGCCGTGGGGGTTGCTTTTAAACAATTAACTTGACCTCCATTTTTTTTTTTAAACTGCGGCCCTGGCCCCCCCCTGCTCTGTTCTTAACTCCCCCGCTGCCACCTCAAAAAAAACCAAAGCTGGCTGCCAAATCTCATGCTACAGTCTCCTGCGCTGAATCACTCTCGGTTTCCCGCAGCCCGCCACCCACGGGGAGGGTTGGAATTCCTTATGTAAAAACGAATAATTGAGCAGGGGGCTGGCATAGCAAGCAATTGAAGGGAATCAAATAGGCGGGAAGACATGAGCGCGGTTTCAAGCAAGGGGATCAATGCTGGGTGGGGAGCAATGCTCGGGAGTGGAGTGCGCAGCAGCAAGGTTGGCATGCCAGCGCTTGGCCTCACGCCTTGGCTGCCACGGCTGCTGCTGCAGCTGCCGCTCCAGCAGGCTGCGTGACCAGGTCGCCCTCTAGCCGCTGCATGACGGGGACTGGCTGCGGCGTGGCGTGCCCCTGCTTCAGCGCCCCCCACTCTGTGTCCGCCCAGGTCAGCGCCTGGTGCTGCTCTGGGGTGAAGCCCAGCTGCTGGTAGATGCGGGCGGAGAGGGAGGGGGTGACGGGCGACAGCAGCACCGCCACCACGCGCACCGCCTCCAGCACTGCCGCCAGCACCGCCGCCGCCTCCGCCCGCTGCTCCTCGCTGCCCTTCTTGAAGGCCGTCCACGGCGCCGTCTCCTCCAGGTACTGGTTGCCCCGCCCGCTGATGCTCAGCGCCGCCTCGCAGGCCTGGTCGAAGCGCAGGCGCGCAAAGGCGTCGGCCACGGCGGGCGCCTTCTCCGCCGCCAGCGCGCGCAGCGGGTGGTCCGCCGCCACGTCGGCCGCGTCCAGCGGCACCTCGCCGCCGCAGTTCTTGCGCAGCAGGTTGAGCGTGCGGTTCAGCAGGTTGCCCACGTCGTTGGCCAGGCTGGCGTTGACGATGTTGCGGAAGCGCTCCTCGCTAAAGTCGCCGTCCTGCGGTGGTGTGCAAGGAGGCGGGCGGCCCGGCGAGCGGTCGGTTGAGGTGCCGAGGTGCTGAGGTGGCGGGGGGATTAGGGAGGGCAACCTCCACCACGCACACATCGAGGGCGGCGCCTCCCAGCCTGCCTGGCCGCCCAGCGGCCCGCCTTCCGGCCACCCTGCCACCCCGCCCAGCCCAGCCACCCTGCCCAGCCCCAGCCCGGCACGCCCTGCCGCACCTGTCCAAACACAATCTCCCTGAGGAAGTAGTAGCGCACGGCGTCTGCGCCGTAGGCGCCCACCAGCGCGCGCGGCTCCAGCACATTGCCCAGGCTCTTCCCCATCTTCAGCCCGTCCTTGGTGAGGAAGCCATGGCCGTAGACGCGGTCGGGCGGCGGCAGGCCCGCCGACAGCAGCATGGCGGGCCAGTAGACGGCGTGGAAGCGCAGGATATCCTTGCCGATGATGTGCAGCGAGGCGGGCCAGCCGGCGGCGGCCAGCGCCTCGGGGGAGGCGTCGGCGGCGGCGCCCTCGGGCAGCAGGCCTGGGCGCGGGGGCAGGCAGGCGGGCAGACGGGCAGGCAGGCGTGTGTTCTAGGAAGCCAGGGAGGCGAGCAGGCGCAGGCTGCGGAAGCTTGGGGGCTGACGGCGCAGGCTCTGGCCCAGCCACGCGGCGGAGGCAGGGCATCAGGGCACACCTGACAGGTAGCCGTTGAGGGCATCAAACCAGACGTACACGGTCTGCTTGGGGTCGCGCGGGATGGGGATCCCCCACTCCACGGCGGCGCGCGAGATGGAGAAGTCGCGCACCCCGCTCTTCACCCACCCCAGCACCTCGTTGCGGCGAGACTCGGGCTGCACAAAGCCTGCACGCAGGCGGAGCAGCAGCGGCAGCAGCAGGGGTGAGGGGCGCTGCTGCCCTCCCTGCCACCGTTGCTGCTTGTGCGGCTGGTAGGAAACACAGCCGGGCCCCAAGAAACTTGGTGGCTGATGCAGCCCAGGCGCAACCAGTCTGCTACCAGGCAGCGCTGCCGCTGCCGGCCCGGGTCGGGCCCGCCCACACGTGCCTGGGCTGCTGCACAGCTCCTCCAGCTGCGCCTGGTACTTGGAGAGGGCAAAGAAGTAGTTCTCCTCCTTGCGCTCCACACACGGCTTGCGGTGCACCGGGCAGTTCTTGTCTGCACCAGGCAGGCAGGGAGCAGGGCTCGACTCGAGCAGGTCAGGCGCCTCCAGCGAACAGACAACACCACGCTCGCCCCATCCCCAGCATGCACACCAGCGCCCACCTCCTCCCAACCTCCTCCCAACCAACAGGTTCCTTTGGCTCCGGCCAGCCCCGGCCCCTCTCAGCCCGGCACACCCACACATGCCCCCCACACACACCACACATGCCCCACACATGCCCCACACCACACCAAGACACCAACACACATCCACACATCCCCCCGCACCCGCATCCATGTCGGCCTCGTCCTTGTACTCCTCGCAGTCCACGCAGTAGTGGCCCTCGTAGTCGGCCTTGTAGATGTCGCCGCGCTGCCACACGCGCTCCAGCACAGACACCACCAGCGCCTCGTGCCGCGCGTCGGTGGTGCGGATGAAGCTGTCGTAACCAATGTCCAGCTGCGCAGCGGGAGGGGAGGAGGAGCAGAAGGAGGGGGGGTGGGGAGGGGCACGGCAGGGCGCAGAGCAGCGGTGGCGGGGGTGGGCACTCGTGGCTGGCAGCACAGTGCCACAGCCAGCCACCAGCCAGAAGGCAGCAGAAGGTGGGACGGTGGTTGGTGCGGCCCGGCGATTGGCCCCACGCCTCACGTCGCGCCACAGCTGCTTGTAGCTGGCCACGACGTCGTCGCAGTGCTCCTTGGGGGCCATGCCGCGGGCCGCCGCCGCCAGCGCAATCTTTTCGCCGTGCTCGTCGGTGCCGGTGATGAAGGTGACGCGGCGGCCTTGCAGGCGCTGGAAGCGGGCCAGGGCGTCGGCGGCGATGGTGGGGTATGCGCTGCCCATGTGCGGCGCTGCAGGGGGCAGGTGGGTGAGGCGAGAGTGCAGGGTTGGACTTGCAGGGCGCTTGCAGGTCCTCACACTTCTGTCCAGACATCAGCCGAGGCTCGCTGCCTGCCGTCCACCGCCGCTCACCGGCGTTGACATAGTACAGCGGCGTGGTCACGGTGAACGGCTGGCTGGCGCCACTGCCATTGCTATGATCGCTGCCTGCACAGGCCCGTGGGGCCGAATGCGCGAGCCTGGAGCGGCAGGGGCCGAAGGCCGCCTGCCGGGCAGCCAGCCTAGCTCGTCCAGCGACTGCAGCGGTGGCCCTCAGCGACCACATGGCGCTGGGAGCATGCACTGCTGTGGCCATGCGACTGTGCACCAGCCCAGCAGGTGGTGTCGGTGCTCACCCAGCGGCAGGCCCGGCTTCTGGCGCAAGAGACACAGAACGGTGCACAGAGGCCGATGGATATGGCGGATGCAAGTTCTAGTGGGCAATTGGGCCAAGCCGACGTAGCTGGCTCGCCATGCCGGCCTCCCTTGCGCGTGTGGAATTGCGGGCGCCCCCATTGCCCGATTTCCATGACCTAATGGCCTATGTGATTCAATTGCCTTCTCCTGGACGCCTCCTGACACCAAAGCGGCCAACCACTTCGCATGTTTGAGCCCTCGCGCTCTGGGCGGCACAGGGTGTAACACAGCGGCACCGGGGACAGCGCAGTCCAGCCGGGCCCAGCGCGGTATCTGCCGCCCGGAGAATGGGGACCCCCAGCCAGGCCAAACCACTCCTCCCCGACCACCCGCCCCTCCTCAGCCGCCAGCCCAATGGCGAGCGCACGGTTTACGTGTCGCCGGAGCTGCCGCCCGGCATGGAGCGCAGCGGGGGCCAGTGGTGAGCTGCGGGCTGCGCGGAGGCGCCGGCGCCTCGACTGGCGGTGCCGTCATCCAAACCTGTGCCTTGCTTGCTGCTTGGCTTTCACAGCACGGGGCTACATCCCACCGTGGGATGGCTTGTTTGCTGGCGGCGCATAGCGCACAGGGCAATGCGGCTCCACGTGCCATGTTGCGCCCATCCGCCGCCGCCGCCGCCGTGCCCGCAGGTCCCTGGCCGACTTCCAGCTCAGCAAGCAGCTGTACAAGGGCAAGGCGTCCACGCTGTACCAGGCCACCGACAGGGTGTCTGGGGAGGTGGTGGCGCTGAAGACGTACAGCAAGCGGCGCCTCAGCGACCTCAACTGGTACCAGGTGGAGCGCGAGATCCGCCTGCACGGCCAGCTGCGCCACCCCAACATCATCCAGCTGCACGCCGCCTTTGAGGACGACACGCACGTCTTCATGGTGTGCGAGTACGCGGCAGGTGGGCGGGCGGGCAAGGGGGTGGTGGGCATGCATGCGGGAGTGCTGCTCGGCGGGGGCGGGGGTGGAGCAGCCGGTGCCCCAGACCTTGGCAAGCAGCGGTGCCGCACCCGGGCCGGCCCGACGGGCCTCTGGCTGCCCGCCACATGCAGGTGGCGACCTGTATGAGGACCTGAAGCGCGCGGGTGGGCGGCTGAAGGAGCGTGTGGTGGCGGGGGAGGTGCTGCCCCCCTTCATGGATGCCCTGGCCCACATGCACGCCCGCTCCATCGTGCACCGCGACATCAAGCCCGAGAACATCCTGCTGGGCGGGGGCCGGGCGGTCAAGGTGGCCGACTTTGGGCTGAGCATCAACTGGGGGGAGGAGCGGCCGGTGACGCGGGCGGGCACGCTGGATTACATGAGCCCAGAGGTGCTGCAGTGCCCGGAGAAGAGCAGGCCGGAGGAGAACAAGGTGGGGCGGGGGGGTGGGGGGTGGCGCGCGTGTAGTGTGGTGGTGGTGGTGGTGGTCGGGCGTGTGGGGAGGTGCAGGCGACAGGGCGAGGCAGGGGCCAGGCCTGGCAGTCGGGCCTGAGCTCTGCACGGGCTGGCCACAGCAGGTGCATGCCACGCTGCCTCCCCCCCGCCGCAGGAGCGGCTTGAGCTGGGGTACAGCGACGCGGTGGATGTGTGGGCTGTGGGCATCCTGGCCTACGAGCTGCTGGTGGGGCGGCCGCCGTTTGAGCGGGAGAGCCGGGAGGAGACGCAGCAGTACATCCAGAGGAGGGAGCCGGCGCTGCCAGAGGGGGTGTCGGAGGCGGCGCGCGGCTTCATCTTGGCGGCGCTGGCAAAGGTGCGAGGCAGGGGAGGGGAGGGAGGGGAGCGGGAGCCGGCAGGGGCAAGGGGCCCGATGGGCTGGCCAGTGGGGGCAGTCTGCGGCTCCTGCCGGCACGCTGCCTGCCTGGCCGTGGCGCTGATCCGCCTGGCGCATGTGCCGCTCCCTGCCCCCCTGCTTGCCTGCCCGCCCCCAACAGAACCCCCGCAAGCGGCCCGCCATGGAGGACCTGCTGCGCCACCCGTGGATCCAGCAGCACGCTCGCCGTCCCTCCACCACGACCCCCACCCGCACCTCCGACTTCCGCCTGCCGCTGCAGCAGCTGGCCAGCCCCGCCCTCCCCGAGGCCGACCGCCGCTCGCTGCACGGCGCGAAGAGCGTGCGGGACTTCTCCGCCCTCCTCTCCGCGCCCACCGTCTTCTCCCACACGCTCGCCGCCGCGCTGCACCCCGCCCTCAGCATCGCCTCCTCTCTGCTACCCACCGCCTCCACGGCTGCTGCGGATGCGGCGGCAGCAGTCAGGCCCACCACCACCCACAGCCGCCTCGGGGCAGCCGCCCTCCGCCCAGACACGCCAGCCGTGCTGAGCCCCTCCTCTCCAGCTGCGCAGATGGTGGCTGACCTGCCTGCGCCGGCCTTCCCAGTGGCAGGTGAACAGGGCACAGAGGCTGGCAGCAGCAGCTGGGGGCAGGCGGCAGGCGCGGAGGCGGAGCAGCAGCCCTGGCATGCTCGCGCGTCGGGGTGGGCAGGGGGCGCCAGCACAGCTGGCTCCCTGCGCCTGCCGACATCCACCGCCGGGACGGCTCGTGATGCCAGCTTTGCCAGCGCACTGTCGAGCACCAGCGCTGCCGTGGGTGAGAAGAGGGGACACGAAGCGATGCATTTTTGGCTGTGCAGCCTTGCTTGCCTGCTTGTCGACACCTTGCAGGCAACTGGTCAAGCCTCAACTGCGCGCCTGCCCTCTGCCTGCCTGCCTGCCCGCAGAGCCCAGCGCCTCCAGCCTCTCCTTCACCCACAGCGCTGCCGCTCACAAGCTGCGCACCTCCTCCTACAACCTCCAGCAGGCTGCCGCTGCCGAGCAGCAGAGCGCCTTCCTAGTGAGCTCCCGCCCTGCCTGCTGGCTCCAGTTAGCAACAGGGGTGCCAGCTAGCGGCAGCGGTGCACATGCTCAGGGGCGGCGGCACCGCTCAGCAGGCGTATGCACAGAGCCATGACGGCTGCATGCTGGCGCGCTGTGTCCCGTCCCAAAGCTGACTGGGAGCATGTGTGCACCCTGTGGCGCAGGAGCTCTACAAGAGCATGGCCCCTCTCCCAGCAGCCGCAGGATCGGAGAGGACTGCAGGCAACCACACGCCGCGTGCGCCGCCCCTAGGGCGCAAAGCCACCGGCAGCCATCCGGCCGCCGCCACCCGCAGCAGCAGCAATAAGGCGCTAGATGCAGCAGGGCTTCCGCCTCTGCAGCAGCAGCAGCAGCAGCAGCAGCAGCATGAGGCGGGAGGCGCAGTGCCGCCAGCGACTGCGCTAGGGCGGCTTCCATCGCTACACAGGGTGCTGTCTCAGCCGGCTCGGCATGTAGAGGCGGCACCAGCCGTGGCCTCGCCAGATGAAGAGGGAGGGCCAGCAGCAGCGGCACCAGAAGTGGTGCCCGCTGAAGGAGCAGGCACAACAGCTGCGCCTGCAGACAGTGAGCTGGCAGCGGCGAGGGAGCAGCAGCAACACGCCGAGCTGGCCTCCATTCCTGAGCAGGCCAGCGGCGAGGCCGAGGCCGGCAACCCAGTCGGGCGATCCAGCCAGAGCGATGCAGGTGATGGAGGGCACATCGTGCTGGAGGTGGTGGCGCTACACAAGGGGCAGCAGGCGGCGGCGGCGGAGGACGATGCGCCGCCCAGAATCGCGGCAGTGTATTCGCTGCCAGCCGCCAGCGTGTGCGGCAGCGGCGCAGATCCTGCGGAGCATGGCCGGCAGCTTCATCACGGCCTGGAGCCGGAGCCCTCCATGCGCACCGCCCAGCTGACGGCGCACGACCGCATGCGGGAGGCGGAGCAGAGGCATGTGGAGAAGCTGCGGGCGCGCGCGTCGGCGGCCTCGCCGCCGCCCGACGCTTCGGCAGCTTCCAGGCAGCAGCCGCGCCAGCTGGCGGGCTCCAGCTACGGCGCCGGCATCGCCAAGTCGGCCTCCTCGCTCCTCAACAAGCTGCTGGGCAGGAGGCCGGGCCCGGCCGGAGATGGCGCAGCAGCAGGCGGCAGGGTGGTGGAGCGATCGGGCAGCTCTGGAACCGCTGCCAGCCAGGGGCCGGAAGGGCAGGTCAAGCACTCCAAGTACCGCCTGTCCCCGCCTTCGGTGCACATGAGCGTGCGCGCAGGCGGCGGCGTGACGCAGCCCCCCAGCCCGCGCCAGCAGCCGGCTGAGCCGCACCGCAGCGGCGGCGGCCTGGTGCACCGCCGTGCCCCGCCGGCCGCAAGCCGGGGCCTCCCTCCCAGCAGCCCCGCTGGCAGCGCCGCCACACTGCGCACCCCTGTCCCTCGGCGGGCGGTGCCAGGCAGGGCGGTGCCTGCGCATCACGCGGCGGCAGCCGCGGCAGCGCAGGCAGAGGCGGAAGCGCTGCCAGCCATGCGCCAGCGCACGGCCAGCCGGCCCAGCGGGGAGGGGGTGGAGCACAGCAGCAACAGCAAGTCGGTGCGGTTTGCCGCCCTTGGGCGCTCCGGACCCAGCGCCAACCTGGATGGGCAGGTGTGCATTTATTAGGCAGCCTGGTTTGCAGTGGGTTTAGGGTCCCTGCCCTTCTCTTTCTCTGCTTGTAGGGGCTTGCTGCCACATAATGCCGCCAAGCAAGCTGTCTCCTGTGCTGGCTGCCGTGCAGGGCGATGGCGACCTCATCCCTGCCTTCCACTCCCAGGGCGCTTCAATGAGCTTCTCCAGCGCTGTCAGCAGCCTGCCCAGCCTGACAGCCCAGCGGTCTGGCAGCACTACCTCGCCCCGCGTCAGCAGGAAGGGCAGCATGAGCCCCGGGGCCAGCCGCAAGAGCAGCCACCTGGCCCCGATGCCCTCCCGCAGCTCGGTCGGCCGTGCCGCGGCGGGTGCGGGGCTGCACGGCGCCTCCAGGCACCGCGGCAGCAAGGTTGCCTCCATGCCGGGGGATGCCGGCGGTGGGCCTGCTGCCGACCATGCGGCTGCGATGCGGCAGGAGGGATCGAGCGAGGAGGGCGGCGGCATGGATGCGGTGCAGCGCTCTGCGGCGTCCTGGAGCGCAGGGGCAGGCAGGAAGGGCGCCGCGGCGCAGCGCAAGTCGTCGGCCACAGCCGCCCGCCTCAGCATGTACCGTCAGATGATGGATGTGGGCGGGCGCACCAGCCCCGACAGCCATGGCGGCAGCCCTCACAGGTCGCCCCCAGCCACCGCAGCCAGCCACTGATTGCGAGCTCCCTGCGGGGTCGCCATCTTCTCATCTTTATGTATTTTTTCACATATATTTATTGCTTTGCTGTTGCTGCCCTCGCGATTTCTTCGTGTGAGATTCTTTTGTTAAAATCTTTGACCGCCAGCGGCTCGCTCGCTTGTAAGTGACTCCTTGAAGGAGTTTTCCATTGCATTGTGTCAAATTATGGCAGGACAGTATAGGAAGAATGCGGCTACATGTATATGCCGACAAATGAAACTCAGGATGCGTGATGGCAGGGCAGCACTGCACTCCCTCACTGCCGCTCCACATCACCAGGTTGCGGCGAGTCGCCGTCGGCTGCCGCCTGGCTCAGCCTGTCCCACACCCGTGCGGGCTCCGAAACGGAATGCCGCAGCAGGCTGCCACCGTCGGCACCATCGGCAGTGCCCGCCGCAGTCCTGCCGCCCGGGAGCGGCGGCCGCGGCGGCGTGCCGCCCGCCTCCCCCGGCGGGGCATCTGCTTGCAGCAACGAGCGCGCCTGCGGGCTCATGCTGAAACGCTGCTGCAGCGCTTCTATCACGCGGCGAGGCGGCACGCCCAGCGACCGCACAAAGCTGCCCGCCCAGCCAGCCTGTGGGCTGCCGCCCTCTGCCTCATAGCCACTGTCTGCCCCGCCGGGCGGCAGCTGGTGCGGGGAGGGTGCAATGTCGGTGGCCCTGCACAAGGCGAGGCAGCAGGGCAGGCACAGGGCAGGTTCAGACTAGAATGACAGCACACTCTTCACTAGACGGCAGCACTCTCCGCATCGACACACAGCGTGGGCCGCTGCACGCCAGGCATTTGGCCGGCAGTGGGTAGCACAGGGTTGGACCAGTGGGGCCTCAGTCGGGCTGACCTGCTCATGCCCTCTCCACCCCACCACCACCACCACTCACCTCCACCACCCGCTGCCCGCCGCATGGTCCAGGTCTTTGCGGGTGATGATGCCCAGGCAGCGGCTCTGCCAGTCCACCACGCACAGGTGGCGCAGGGAGAGGGCCAGGAAGAGGTGATGCACACGGTCGGCGGGCGTGTGCGGCCGCACTGCACCATGCTTGGCGGGGGGGACGCATGGCAGGGTTGGGGTGGGCAGGCGGGCAGCCCAGGGATCGAAAGAGGGCCGCAGAAACGGGAGGCACATGCGCACGGCACAGTACAGGCGTGAGGTAGGCGGGGGCGGGCCCAGGGAGATGGGGAGGCACCTGTGGTGGGCGCCAGGTTCATGAAGGGGGCCAGGTTGAGGAGGGCCGTCCGGCCGCCCTCCAGCTCCGCAGCCACCGCATCGGCCGCCGAGTCGAGCACCGCAGACTCTGGCATGGCCGCTGCCCCCCTGCTGGCATCCAGGGAGGGGAAGCTGCCCCCGCCGATGCCCAGGCTGGTGGCGGGCCCCAGCAGGCCCAGGCAGCTGGGACCCGCCGCCGCGGCGCTGCGGTAGGCGCCCAACCCCGCCTGCGCCGCCCCCTGCATCTCGTTGCCAAGGGCCTCCTCGAAAGCGGCCGCGTTGTGGCGGGCCAGGTGGCTCAGGTAGCGGCCGCGCTCGTCGCAAAAGGCGCCGTGGCGCAGCAGCACTAGCAGCTGCAGAGAGGGCCGGCAGGTGAGGGATGAGGTTGATGCGAGGGCAGTCGGGGGGGCATGCCACACTGGGGGAGCCATGAGCTCGGCTGCTCCTGATTTGAGAAGCTGCAGGCCACAGAGTCCAATGCGCCGGAGGCCTGCTGCCCCACGTGCCACACACCTGGCTGCGCAGCACAAAGCCCTGCATCCTGCCAAAGGAGCGGCCCGCGCCGGCTGCGCCATCGGGCGGCAGCAGGTGCTGCTGCTTGCCGGCCACCAGCACCGGGAAGCCGTTGTGGGTGGTGCTGCGCAGCACGGCGAGCACGGTGCTGACGCGCTCGACAGGGGCCAGCCCCACCACTGGGCTGGCCATCACCGACTCTGCCGTCTGGCTGCGCAGCGCATGCGGCGGCTCCTGCGGGGGGAGGTGGGGGGTGGGGGGTGGCGGGAGCGGGCAGGGTGCAGGTGGGTGGGTAGCCCCAGAAGAGGGAAGAAGCACAGGAGGGCCTGCTTAAGCAATGGGTGGCCTGCCGCACGCGCTCGAGGCCCCCAGCCGCCCCGCATACCTGTCGCAGGTAGTAGCAGCTTCCGTCCTTGGTGTCCAGCTCCGCTTCATACAGCCCGTCTGGGTGCAGGTGGTGGGCCACCAAGTTGGAGATGATGGTAGCCAGGATCACTCCAAACAGAAGGTCTACGGGGATGGGGCAGGCAGCAAGGTGATCGTTACAGCAGCACACCAGCACCCCTGAAATGCAAAGACCATGCTGGCACCGTCGATAACGCTGCGCTGGCGCAATCCCCCACCCACTCATGCACCCTGGGAGCACAGCCAGCCTGCCGGCACTCACCTATGCCCTTGGTCCCCTCAATCACTATTACAACGAGCGAAATACTGCTGCGGAAGACGGCTCCCAGCATGGCGGTGGCGCACACCACGGCATACACCCCCGGCTGCACGTCCCACCAGGACGGCAGCACCTCCAGCCCCAGCAGCCCCAGCAGCACACCAAAGGCGCTGCCGATGAGGATGCAGGGCCTGCGGGCGTGACATTCATGTCGCACAACCAGGGTGTGAGGCAGACTGCCCAATCAGCCGGTCCATGACGCAATCTTTGCCCAGCCAATTGCAAGCCCTGCTCTCAGAACGCTCACATGAACAGGCCGCCGGGGACGATAAGGTTGCTTGCTGCCAAGAAGAGGGCCAGGTATGCCACCACCAGCACCGCCAGTGAAGGGACAGTGTAGTAGCAGGGGGTGGCCAGGCTGCACAGCTGTAAAGCAGGCAGCGGTGCATGCACAGGGCAGGGACACTCAGAGAGGGTACACAGCTGCACAGTGCAGGGCCAGCGGCAGCGGGAAGGCAGGCCTCAAGCTCCATAGCAAGCTGTCCCCGCTGCTCTCATCATGCTGAGCCAGGCTCCCCACCCACCCGGTTGTTCACAGGCTCTGCATCGCTGCCCATACTGAGGAGGGTGCGGATGGTCCAGACGGAGCTGGACAGCAGGCCGGTGGCGAGGTCGTTGTACTGCCCATCTGGGCAGCCGTACTGCATGCAGTCCGCCGCATCCCACTGCTCTGGGATGTCGAGGCAGGTGCCGACAGCTGCGGGCAGCCCGGTCAGGGCAGCTGCCGTGATTGCTGCCACCGCTGCCCCCTCCAGCAGCCGCCAGCTGATGCCGGGGTGCCCGCGCCGCCAGAAGAGCACACGCCGCTTGCCGATGTTGAAGGCTGATCCGAGGAGCCCGCCGCACGCACTGACAAACACCAGGAGCGGCATCTGGATCAGCCACTGCATCAGCAGGCATGGCGGGCAGGCAGGGGCAGGCATGGCGCAGAGAGGGCGAGCTCGCTGCCGCAGGGCAAGCAAGCAGCAGTGGCTGGGAGTAGGCAGGCTGAGGCCATCCCCACCTCCAAATTGGTCAGCGGGTTGATGCCCCGGAAGCTCAGCATGCCGCTCTGCGACCTGCATGCCATCCACAAACCACCAGCACCAGGGCTGATTCTGTGCAGCAGTCGTGGATGCCTCCCACGCCGCACCCAGCCAACACTGGCACGGTCTGGCAGGCGGGCCTGCGCTCGCCTGGGGTGCAGCTGTGCCAGGGTGAAGCAGGCGACCGAGGCGCACAGGAAGCAGCGCCACGCCAGCTTGCGGCTCCACACGCTCGTTGCCTCCTCCAGGGCAAACAGCACACCTGCGCACACGCGTGTGGGCAGATGTGGGCGCCACAGGCGCAGCCGCAGGCCAGAGCAGATGGCTCGCTACCGGCGGCCAGCAGGCAGGCCTTCATCCACTGGGTGCCAGCCCACAGGGCTTCTTGCTTCACCTCCGATGGGTGCCCCAAAGGCGGCGGCCAGCCCCGCAGCCGCGCCGGCTGACACCAGCTCCCGATGGTCTGAGTTGGAGAACAGAAAGTCCTCGGCGGCGCTGGGCGCCATGCCCAACGCCGCCGCCGCCTGCTCCAGCTTGCCACCAGCGGCCCTGCGATGCAGGTTGAGCCTCCGGTACAGCACTGCAGGCTCACGGAGGGAGCAAGGGAGCACCTGTGTGCCGCAGAGGGCAGGGGGAGCGACCGGGGGGGGGGAGCACAGGCCAAGGATATGCGCATATCGCGGCGCAGGGCTCACCATGCTCGCCATGGCACACCAGCGAGGCCACGGCTGATCCCAGGTGGATCATGGGGCCTGCAGGCCACCAGCAGCAGGGAAGGGCTGAAGCCGGGCCTGCCCCACAGTGCCAACCGGCTGTGCCGGCATCGCGCCCAGGCGGCACGCAAGCTGCCAGCGGCTCACCCTCCACCCCCAGCGCCAGCCCGGCCAGGCGCGAGGCTGCGGTGCCCAGCAGCTTGGCCACGTACACCTTGACGCTGAGCAGGCCGGCAATGGCGTTGCCGTTGAGCAGGGCCATGACCAGCGCCACGCCGCCGCCGCTGGCCCTGGGCGCCCAGCAGTGCACGGCCAGCGTGGAGGCAAGCACGGCAGACAGGCTGATGGCCAGCATGGCGCCAAACACCAGCGGCAGCCCCTGCAGCGCGGCCAGCGCGCCGTGCAGCGGGACGCCGCCGCCCCGGCGCAGCGCATCCAGCAGCCGGTTGCGGTGTGTGCACACGAGGTCCACCAGGGCCTGCAGCGCCGTGGCTGTGAGGCCGATGAGGATGCCCGACAGGAAGGTGGCAATCAGCTTGGTGAGCGTGGACCCAGAGTAGCTGCAGCGGGCGACGAGCAGGTGGGGTGGAATGGGAGCGCAGGTTGTTCTACCAGCATGCAAAAACGAAAGGTTGAAACCTTGCAGGACGGCAGAGCAATGCATGAGGACGGCAGAGCAATGCAAGGGCACCCGGCCACCTACCCATACAGGTGCCGCCGTTCGCCTGGCTGCGCCTGCTTCTGGATGTATAGTGCAGACACCACGGTTTCGTAATCCAACGACTCGACAGCTCCGTGACTGGCAGCACGGCGGCGGGCGGCCAGGCGGGGCGCCGCTGCCGCCCGACTGCGCAGGTTGGCGGGGCCGGGCGTCGCATCCGGACCCAGCAGCGGCTCTTGAAGCGCTGGAAGCCGGCCGGGAGCGGCCATTAGGTCGCAACTTTGTGCCAGCAAGAGAGCAGCAAGCCTACATAGCCCCTGCAGACTGCATCAGGGTGACGATAAGGAGCTTGGAACGACATGGATCTGTTGCCGCCACCGACCACCTGCGAAACTGCTACCGCGCAGGGCCTAAGTGTCGCCAGCTGGGCGCCCCGCCATGGCACGCCATCGCTCCATCCACCTCCTAATAGATTACCTTTCGTAAAGTTGCCTTGGGATGCCTCTGAACGTTTGTTCCAGTTCTCCTTTCCAAGTCAGGGCCCATTGCAGGTGCCCAGACATGAGCAGCAGCGCTGTTCTCAAGTGGTGGTGCGGCAGGGTAGGGGCTGTTTTTTTTTTTCAAGCGGATAGTGCAGCTGTCGGACATGGAGCATCACATGCAGAGCAGAGCAGAGCAGGATAGAACGAGCGCAACACGGCTACGCGGCAACCGTGTTGTGCGGCCCGCCGCTATTGTTGTTGCTGCTGCTGTGCATCCTCTGCGCCGGTCGCCTTGTACTCTGCAGTCGAAAGGAGACGGAAAGGGGGCAGGCAGCACCACATCATTGCCTGCACGCCGTGCGACAGCCAGCCTAAATGATCCGCATGCCCATTGCACTCCCCTCCAGGCGGGCAGGCAGCCGGCCGCCTCGCTCACCCTTCTTCAGCTCCCACAGGTCTTTGAAGGGCCCGCGTGTGTTCTTCACAGCAATCTCCCCCAGCACCTCCTTCAGGTGCTGCGTCGGCTGCACCGTATCCTTCTGTAGCTGCGGGAAGCTCCAGCGCGGCTGCTTC